CAGGTTTTCTGTTCCTATTTTATGAGTTTTTTTTAAAAAGATATATTTATTTATTATGTATAGTGTTCTATCTGCATGTACCCCTGCCTGCCAGAAGAGGGCACCAGATCTCATTACAGATGGTTGTGAGCCACCATGTGGTTACCGGGAACTGAACTCAGGACCTCTGGAAAAACAGCCAGTGCTCTTAACCTCTGAGCCGTCTCTCCAGCCCTTCTATTCCTGTTTTAGAGAGGAGAGTTTCAAAATGGTGTGGAAGCCCAGGACTAGGAGGAATCCTGTCACTGAGGTCCCTAGTTGAGGGATCAACCAGAGCCTGTCTTTACGGAGGTAGGGCTAGAGTTACGATGCTCTTAGGTTAAGAATTATGTCAATAGGTCGGGCTTGGAGGCACATGCCTTTAATCCTACCAGAGGCAGAGGCAGTTAGATCCTGTAAATTCAAGATCATTCTGGTCTATATAGTGAATTCCTACATAGTGGGACCCTGGAGAGAGGGGTCAAGGGAGGAAGAAAGTGATGAAGCAGAGAATGAATTGTGCCACTACAGATATTTCAGTCATAATGTAAATGAAATAAGAAAGTGGGGGTCTGGGGCTGAGATAGGAATATTCCAGACTATGCAAAGGGACAGAGGCTAAGTTGTTGTCGATATGCTGGGTGGATAGTCTTGCTGTGTGTGAGAGTCTGTGGAGGCATGCCATGTGTATGCAGGTGCCCTTGGAAGCCAGAAGAGTGTGTCTCATTTGCCTGATGTGGGTGCTGGGAACTGAACTCTGGTCCTCTGTAATGTGCTCTTAACTGCTGAACCATCATCTCTCAGCCCATTTTATTTTTGAAGCAGAGTTTCTCTGTGTAGGCCTGACTGTCCTGCAATTCTCTCTGTAAACCAGACAATTCTTGAACTCAGTGATCTTTCTGCCTCTGCCTCCTTAGTGCTAGGATTAAAGGTGTGTACCACCACCATATCCTGGCTAAAGTGGGTATTTGTTGAAGTATTGTATTTTAATGTCAGCACCAGCAGCCTGTTAAAAGTGTAAATTTTGGAACCATTCCAAAGCTACTGAGCCAATGAACAGCTAGTAACCTGTCTTAAAATTGACTTTCTAGGGGCTGGAGAGATGGCTCAGCGATTGCAAGCACTGGCTGCTCTTGCAGAGGACCTGAGGCAGGTTCCCAGCACTCACATGGTGGTTTACAACTCCAGGTTGTTTGTAAACCAGTTTCCAAACTGGTGTTTGGAGCTCCAGTTTCCGGGGGCTTGGGCACCCTCCTCTGACCTTTGAGCCCTGCGTTCCCGTGCTGCACATACTTACATGCAGCAAAACACGCACAACGTAAAATACATCTGAAAAAGTTAAATACGTTCTCCAGAGGTTGGTACAAAGTACACTGCGGTTTAAGAGGCCTTGTGTTAAACAGCACTGGGAGCCCCTGGGGTTGGGGCCGGGTGAGAGAGGGGAGATCTTAGAACACGAGGTTGGCGAGCTAGCCAGGGGCCAGCTGACCAAGGTCTGGTGGCCTGTTGTAAGGACTTGGCTGCTTTGTGAGTTGGGGCCCATGGGAAGGTTTTGAGCAGAGGAGTGATGTGACCTAATAGGCAGTCTTAACAGATTGTTTTGATTGTTGGGTTGAAACACGGGCAAAGTGCCCAGTCTGTTGCTATACTGTAGGCTGAAAGTGGTGTGGATTTGGATTAGGGTGGCACCAGTGGATGTGGTGAAGTTGGTGAGACCTAGAGCTAATTGCCAGAGAATGTCAGAAGATTGGCGAGTAGTCACTCTGCATCCTCGTTACCTGAAAAGGATAAAACAACTAGTTAGTAGATGGGAAAGTCCTAGCTAGTGGCACTGAGCTGTGATCATCGTCGTCACCTAGAGAGGCTGACCTCACACATGTGAGGCTGAGTCTGTGCGTCCTCAGACTGTCGCTGGTAAAGTCACTCCATGCTAGTGACTCCTCGGAACAGCCGATCCTCACCGTCTCCTCTCTCTGTTGCTGCCCTCACGTCTTTTGTTCTTTTTCACCTACTTGTTTTCTTTTCTTTTCTTTTCCTTTGCTCTTTTTCATAATTTGAAGGTTTAAAAATATTTAATTGAAATATTTTTTCCTTTTTCTTCCTTCTATCCCCTCCCATGTCTGCCCCCATCCATACTTCCTCCCAAATTCATGGTCTCCTCTTTTTTTTTTTTTAATTTAAATATGCATTGGTGTTTTGCCTGCATGTCTGTCAGTGTGAGGGTGTCAGAACCCCTGGAGCTGGAGTTACGGACAGTCTCGAACTGCCATGTGGTGCTGGGAATTGAACCCGGGTCCTCTGGAAGAGCAACCAGTGCTCCCAACCGCTGAGCCATCTCTCCAGTCCCATGGGCTCCTCTTCTTTAACCCTTGTTGTTACTTAGACGTATAAACATACACACAAACACAGCTTACTGAAGCCTTTCAGTATTCCTGGATGTACATGTTTCTAGGGCTGACCACTTGGTACTAAATAACCAATCAGGAGACTCATCCCTGGAAGACTGATTTTCCTTCTCTCAGCAGTTGGTACTTGTTGTGCCTCTAGTCTAGGGGTGAGGCCCTGTACGACTTCCCCTATCTACATTGTGATAGCAGCTGGTTTCAGAATTGTTCAGGTTGTTTAGGCAGCCATGTTGTCAAGATTTCATGGATGTAGCTTCCTTGTCCTTTCTAGAAGACACCACCTCACAGCAGACTTTGTTCTTCTGGTTCTTACAACCTTTCACCTCCTCTTTGGTGGTCCCTGAGTCTGTCCCTGTGATCAGTTGTGTTGTAGATGGATCCGTTGGGGCTGGGTACCCTATGGCCAGTTTTCCTCTTCATTTGACAATTGTGTGGTTTCCTGTAATGGTCTCTGCTGCCCGAGAATCTTCTACACTTCTCTGTGGCTATAAGGGTAACTATTTGGAATACAGTTAGGAATTATACTGGCTCAGGAAAGTGCCAGAAGCAGGTTCATCTCTAGGCTCCGTGACCTCATGAGCTGTGTGTAGTTTCTGGACCTGTGGTAATGTGATGGTTGCTGGTGGGATGACCAGAGAAACAGCCTAAGCGCTGGGTTGGGGAGAGAGCCGTGTGAATGTGGCAAGGGAATGTCTGGATGCCCATTATTTCTGACTGCCCCCAAAAAATCATGGCTTCCCCTTTCTCTTGTATTTCCCCAATTTTAGGTAATTCCTGTCATGCAATAACCTGGTTGTTGTATGGACAGGAATTTTGTGGAATGTAGGTCCCGCCTTGGAAGAGGTGGATAGTTATGGTTCCAAGTGAATCTGCTACTGATTCCCTAAGTGAGTGGTCTCATTCTGTCTCTCTGCCATCCTTGATCTCTGTAGGCCCTAATACATGTGTGCCTCTGCTCCCTATTAATGACTGCAGAGGCTTTATGTCTACTGCCTTTTATGGAGTCGCTCAGATTGCTAACTGCAGCCATCAGCACCTTTTTTGGTGGGTTGCCGAAAATGCACACTAATCTTTGCCTGCCTATTCAGCTCTAAATCTGAGGTGGATTCACTCTTTAAACATTGCTTTCTTGAATAGAGCCTAGATTGTTAGAGCTACGGACATGATTGAATCAATAATTATTGTCAGCTTTAGTAAGTAATCTATAAAGGCTGCATGAATAGTTATTCTAAAGCACTGAGAAACCTCAGTATTTGCATTAGCTGGATACTTTGAGGTCAAAGTCCAGAGGGAGATTGCAGAATAAAAAATGGTTTCTAAGCTGAAGAGATGACATATTGATGTGACACTTACCCTGCTGGTCTGTTGCTACTGAGACAGCACTAGTCTGTCCATGGTTAAAACTACCTGTAAATAGGATTTTATGTGTTTCTGTGGTGCTGGACATCGAGCCCAGGTCCTTGTGTGTGCGTTATAACCTTTGTTTAGTGTGTGTGTGTGTGTGTGTGTGTGTGTGTGTGTGTGTGTGTGTGTGTGTGTGTGTGTGTGATGTCAGGACAGCTAGCAGGAGTCACCCCCCTCCCTCTCCTACCATATGGCTTCCAGGAGTCCGGTTTCAGTTGCCAGGCTTGGACAGTGAGCACCTTCACTGCTGAGCCATCTCACTGGCTCCAGATGTTTTTATAACATTTGAAAATCTTCCATGACTAGATGATGGATAGTTAAAATCTAACTCAGTGTAATATATTTATAAATGTGTATGTGTGTATTGCTAATGATTGTCCATTGCTTTCCAAACAACTACATTACAAAAACTTGGGAAATTTGGATATATATATTTTTTTAATCCTGAGTTGAGAAAATTATCTGGGTCACAGAGCAGTAGAATATGTGAATACTAACCTTATTTAGAAAAGTATTCTTCCAGTTACCAGAAACATGTATATATGTTTTGATAACTGGAAGTATATAATAAAAACCTGTGAACTGAATGAATTCTTACTGCTAATAATTATACTCATGATTCAAATACAGAATTATGTACACATGAATGATTTGTTTATATCTTGCTCTTTAGCCAATAACTCTTTGGATTATATTAGTTTTGTGCTATGGAGTTATGTACTAACAGCTCAAAATTATAGCATTATTATTTCTGTTGGGCCTCATTATATCAAATTTGGCATGTGAGGATGATAATTGATGTAGTTATAGCATCTGCCAGTAGATGGATGACTACAACTTGTCGACAAGCCAGATAGTCAGCTGGTGGTGAGTTCAAAATGTTCTAACACAGGCTGCATGCAGCACATTTGTTTTGTTTTGTTTTTTGTTTTTCGAGACAAGGTTTCTCTGTGTAGCCCTGACTGTCCTGGAATTCACTCTGTAGACCAGGCTGGCCTCAAACTCACAGAGATCCTCCTGCCTCTGCCACTCAAGAGCTGGGATCAAAGGTGCGTTGCACCACCACCACCCAACACACACAACAGATTTACTAAAGGTGTGTTTGTGCTTTAAGATTTGGGTTTTGTTTAAATAGAGCAGACAATAGAGTGATGCTAATATCCTCCTTAACAGGTAAATGTTGGGAAGATGGACTCACCCATTGAAAAGTGGAATCTAATCATTGGCAACTTGGCTTTAAAGCAGGTAAGTGACACATTTATTCATAGATCTTGGGTGTGAAATTTACCATTTGTTTCATGAGACACTAAACAATACTCTGAAAAGGTGATGACATCAGTTGATGGACATGGCCTTTGAAAGTTACTCTATTTCTAGAAACTGATCAGCTTCTTCCAAATGTAAAACAGTATAAGTACTGAAAACCATGCAAGTACACCATAGCTGTAATAGAGTCAGCTTTTGTATTAATATTTATACAAATGGTTAAGAATTCATTCAGTATTGTCTTGCTCACTGTTCTAGTGCTGTGAAGAGGCACCGTGACCAAGGCAACTCTTACAAAAGGAAGCTTTAATTGGGGGCTTAGTCCATGATCATCGTGGCTGGAGGCAGGCAGATACAGTGCTTTAGCTGAGAGCTTTACATCCTGATCTGTAAGCCGAAGAGAGAGACTGGGACTGACAAGGGCTTTGGACACCTCAGTATCCTCTCCCAGTGACACACCTCCTCCAGCAAGGCCACACTTCCTAATCCTTCCCGAGCAGTTCCACTAATGGGTGACTAAGCCCTCAAGTGGAGGCCATTCTCATTTAGACCACCACATGTGCTGTGCTATCTCCTACTCTTATTTATGACTGTGATTTTTGGTGGGGAGACAGGATCTCATGTATCCCAGGCTGGTCTTAAACTTTTTATCCAGGTGAGGATAACCTTGGACTTTTGATTTTCCTGACTCCTGAGTGCTGGGATTACAGATGCGAATCACCAGTCCTGGTTTATGTGGTAATGGGGATTGAACCAGAGCCAGTGTATCCTAAGGGAGCACTCCAGGTGATCCACATCTCTAGCCCCATCTTTATGTTTTTTGAGACAGATTTCCAGTGTTGCTCAGGGTGACTTTAAACTCAGACAGAACGCTCCTGCTTCAATTTCTGAGGCCTAGCATCATGCCCTGTTTTTTGTGTTTTGTTTGTATTAGTTTTTGGTTTTGAGGTGATATCACTATTTCTCAGTCTGATCTCAAACTTCTGGGTTCAAATTAATCTTCCTGGGTCTACAGGAACAGAATACAAGACCGCCTTCTTTAGTTGTTGGTTTTTTTGTTTTTGTTTTTTGTTTTTTTAGAGATAGGGTTTCTCTGTGTAGCTTTGGAGCCTGTCCTGGAACTCACTCTGTAGACCAGACCAGGCTGGCCTCGAACTCACAGAAATGGGCACATTAGTTGCTTAATTGAACTGAGCTCTTTTCTGGATATCGTGGTCACCCATTTGTTCATGTTGATTTTCCTTAGGTAATGTTGCCGTTGTTGATATTAATAAGTCCATTCAGTTCCCAGTAACATATGTAATGAACCAGGAATTATGTATCTTCTGTGGCTCCTTCTGCTCTGAGGTGTTTCTGCCTCTTCATCTGTTCTCTCCTGACTCTTAAGTAAATGACTTCAGCTGTCATGAGTAACTCTTCAGCTAGTGTGAGCAGCAGGAATATGTACTCGTTTTAATGTTAGCTCAGCTAGGCCATAAGATTGAGAACATGGTTGTGGGAATATATAATTTCATGCATTGCATTTCAAGGACAAAAGAGTTCCTGAAATAAAGGCCTTTTCATATGTGTGCAGTTATTCTAAGTTGTAGGATTGGAACTAAGAAAGTCAGAGCCCTAACCTCGCCTCTAACATCAACCAGCTGTAGAGCCTTTGTTAATTCACATGACTGGTCTGGGCTTCAGGTCCGTCTTTTCAGTCCTAGCATGTCAGAAAAGTCTAAGAACATTTCAGCTTCACCGTGTAGGAACCTCGGCAGCTGGTAAAGACATTTACAGACTGGACTAGGTAGGAATATCAGTGTATCAGTGGGAGAGTGCTCACCAAACACGCAAGAAGTTTGTCCCCAGTAACAAGAAAAACACAAAACTAAGACCCTTACAAATATTTATACATCAATAGAGTTCTCTAACAAATCAAGAAAGTGAAAATATATTGATTTAAATACTGAACCCTGAAGGCATAACTGTCATGAGTGATCGATACAGGTCTCTGTGACAGTCCCCACCTCAGCCTTTGGCATTCTGTCTTCCGGTAGTCTCCACCTTCCCTTGCCATCCTCTTTTGCAACTGTTGTTTAGGATGGTTGCCAGAGATGGCCGGGAATTCTCTGGTCCTAGTTGCCAAACTTCAACGCCTCTTTGGCTTCCTCCCCAAGGATGTGTGATAAACAGGGACCTTGGACAGATTCATCAAGACACAACAGGTGCCCAGCCAGTGAGGCCATGGTTGGTTGGAGTGGTTGCCACAGACCAAAGGAAGAGGAGAAGATGTGGCTGCGGGCTGGGTTAGGAGAAAGGTTATTTTCTGCATGAAGCTTCACCAGCAATGCTTGTGAAGACGAATGTGGAGCGCTTGGTTAGGACAGACCTGGAGAGATGGCTCAGCAGTTAAGAGGTGTGCTCTTCTTCCAGAGGACTTCTCAGTACTCACCAGGTGGCTCATAACCATCTGCACCTTCAGCTCCAGGGGATTCATCTTTCAGTGTGTGGGGCAGGGACAGGCAGATCCCTGTGAGTTGGAGGTCAGCTTGGTCTACATAGTGAGTTCCAGGGCTGCATAGTGAGACTGTCTCAACAGCAAAATTAACAAAAACCATGTGGTCCTGCATTCCACACCTGTTGCCATAGATTGGGGCAATTTGAGAGGCCATTGTCTTAAGTATTATAATTTATTTAAAAATGGCAAAGGTGACCTTAGCAGGTTGGAGCCAAGGAGCCCCAAAGTCACGCCACACAACAGAACTGACATGGAAGGTTTATTGGGGAGATAAGAGCTGAGGAGAGAAGAAGAGAAGGGGGCAGAGGCCAGTCCCTGGGGAAGAGAAAGAGATGGGAGGTGGGCAAGGCCCACCTTTTATAAGGGAATGTAACAAGTGCATGCAGGGGTTGCTCTTAGTGTTTGCAGCCGAGGACATATCCTGTCAGGATCCTAAGGTCCTGTACAGTACAGATGCCTGAATGCTAACCTTAAGTGCTATTAAAACTCCAATCCAGTAACCTCTTTAAAATGAAGGCAGTTCCGTTACCATGCACAGAACTTCTGACTATCTTGTAATGATTAACTAATGAAAAGGTAATGTTTTAAAAATCACTGATCTGGATTTTACAAACTATTTTTAGGTCCAGGCCACAGTGGTTGGTTTTTTAGCGGCCGTGGCAGCGATCATATTGGGCTGGATTCCAGAAGGGAAATATTACCTCAGCCATTCCATCCTTCTGTGCTCTAGCAGTGTGGCCACCGCCTTCATTGCGTCGCTTCTGCAGGGTAGGTGAGCTTGTGAGTGTCTGCTTGGCAGTTTTTGAATTTTTAATAAAAGGATTGATTTCCCAGGATGATGACTTTTTTTTAATTCATCTATTTATTTTACATCCTGGCCACAGACCCACCCCCCCATACTCCCCTCCCAATCCCTTTCCCCCATTCCCCAATCTCCTCCCTTTCCATCTCCATCCAGGAAAGGGCAGGTCTCCTGTGAGCATCAATAAAACATGGCATATCAAGTTGCAGTAAGACTAAGCACTTCCCCATGTATTAAGACTGTGCAAGACAACCCAGTATGAGGAGTAGGGTCCCAAAAGCCAGTAAAAGAGTCGGAGGCAGCTCCTGTTCCTGTTGTCCCACAAGAGGATCAAGCTACACAGCTGTAACATGTATGTAGAGGGCCTAGGCCAGTCTCATGCAGGCTCCCTGGTTGTCAGATCAGTCTCTGTGAGCTCCTATGCATCCAGGTTAGTTGATTGTGTGAGTCTTCCCATGGTGTCCTTGACCCCTCTGGCACCTACATGCCTTTCTCCTCCTCCGCAGGATTCCCAAACTCCGCCTAATGTTTGGCTGTGGATCTCTGCATCTGCCTCTTCCTCCAGGATGGTGACTTTTAAAATGGTATTTGTTCATGATGAAAATGGCCACATAAACTTTAAATAATCTTAGTTCAGATGTATTTTTATGTTACTATTAATTTATCTATTTGATTTTTCAAGACAAGGTTTCTGGCTGTCCTGGAAATAGCTCCGTAGACCAGGCTGGCCTCAAACTCATAGAGATCCACCTGCCTTTGTCTCCTGAGTACTGGGATTAAAGGCATGCACCATCAACACCTGGTTTATTTCATTATTTGTAAACACAGTGGAGAACAGGTTTTTGAGGTTGTCTCCTTGGCCATAGGTGCTCTGGCTCAGTTTTCAATAAGAACAGTACAATGGCTCACTGTTTTCCCTAAGAGTTAAGAAAGGCCTTCCTGGAAATCACCTGACTTTCCGGCCTCTCACAAGATTTCTAGGAATTCTCAGTTTTAAAAGCAATTCCTCATTTAAATTATTGGTTGAGGGTACTTCCTGCACTCCCAGAGGACCTGAGTTCAGTTCCCAGAACCCACATGAGGCAGCTCACAATTGCCTGTGATTACAGCCCAGGGTAAAGGGTGACTCCAACACCAACTGCCTCTGAGGGCCCCTGCACTCACGTGTGTACTCTGTCACACAAACACGCAAGTATGCACATTAAAACACCCTGAACTTTAAGTGACAATATAAATATAATATAACATAGCATATTTATGGTTATATGTTAAAAAAACAGAAGTTAAAAATTAACTGAACTGGGCAGTGATGGTGTACACCTTTGATTCCAGCACATGGGAGGCAGAGACAGGAGGATCTCTGTGAGTTCGAGGCCAGCCTGGTCTACAGAGTCAGTTCCAGGACAGCCAGGGCTGTACAGAAATCTTGTCTCAATACCACCCCCAAATAAAAATTAACTGCATTAGAATTTACAGGATTGCTTCTTTATATTTATTGATATGAGCACTATACGAGGCACCTTGTATGTTGTGGGATGTAGGCATCAAGCTCAGTGTTTACTATGGTTTTTTAGCTTGGTTTTCTGAGACAAGGTTTCTCTGTGTAGCCCTGGCCGTTCTGGAGTACTCTATGTAGACCAGGATGGCCTCAAACTCACAAAATCTCCCTGCCTCTGCCTCCCAAATGTTGTTTGTGATCTAAGGCATGAGCCATCAGGTCTGGATAGTTCTAGCTGCTTGCTCTATCATCTATCTATCTATCTATCTATCTATCTATCTATCCATCCATCCATCCATCCATCCATCCATCCATCCATCCATCCATCTATCCATCCATCCATCTATCTATCATGAGCCATCAGGTCTGGATAGTTCTAGCTGCTTGCTCTGTCTGTCTATCTAGCTGTCTGTCTATCTATCTATCTACCTACCTACCTACCTATGTTTTTTTGAGACAGGGTTTCTTTGTGTAGCCCTGGCTGTCCTGGAACTCACTCTGTAGACCAGGCTGGTCTTGAACTCAGGGATCTGCCTGCCTCTGCCTCCTGAGTGCTGGGATTAAAGGCGTGCACTTGTTGAGTCTGAGTTCATATGCAAAAATGAAAAGCCTTTATTGCAAGCTAGAGCTTGGGCTTCCTGTCCATTCCAACACAGCAGTTGGATAGGGAGAGCACTGAGATCAGTTATGGCAGGGTTTTTAAGGAGTAAAGGATGGGGGTGTAGGGGAATTCCAGATTCAGATGGGGGTTGAACTCCTGATTGGGCAGGAGTGAGGCAGCAGAAGTTTTGTCAAACAGTATTGGTATAGTGTTGCTGCAAGGAAATTGGCAACCTATATACCGATCATGTAAGCTATCTTTTATGTCCTAGAGCATTTAGTACGTGTTTGTCTCAATTCTGATTGGTTCCCTGCAGGGTACAGTTTGTGATTTCTCCTGTTTATTGCAATGGTGAGGCCTAGTCCCAGTATTGTTAGTCTGCAGCCTATTATGGCTGCACTAATTTTTGTTTGTTTGTTGTTGAAGACAGTGTTTCTCTGTGTAGTTTTGGTGCCTGTCCTGGATCTCTCTTTGTAGACCAGGCTGGTCTTGAACTCACAGAGATCCACCTGGCTCTGCCTCCTGAGTGCTGGGATTAAAGGCGTGCGCCACCACCGCCTGGCCACTGCATTAATGTTGTTAGGCCTCTTCATTCCTGCTCCCTAACACTTCACTGTAAGACAATACGATGAAGCATTTTTAGTTACCATATATGAGTGTATTTGTTTTGTTACTATGCTTATAAATAGGATTTCTCTTTTTAGTGTTTTCATTCTTCAAGAGTTAAAATGCAAATCTGTGGTTTGATATATATATATATATATATATATATATATATATATATTACATTTAAAGCATATGCCTCATTAAATTCAAAATTTTAGTTTTAACGTAATTTTACAGTAAATGCAACATTGAGCGGATGATATTCTTCTGGGATCTCTTGCAGTTTACTGAAGGGCATTTTGCCAAAGGGGTTACAGTAAAATATTTTGTTTGCTTAATCAGTTTATTTGAGCATTCTAACTGGAACTGGTGTGCTTTTTCTCCAAGCTGTGTATTTCAGTGTTTGGGGAATGGATCTTCTGAGGCAGCATCAGAAGTAACGGGTGTTCTTTCTCCTAGGAATAATAATGGTTGGAGTTATCGTTGGCTCAAAGAAGACAGGCATAAACCCTGACAACGTGGCCACACCCATTGCTGCTAGTTTTGGTGATCTGATAACTCTTGCCATATTAGCTTGGATAAGTCAGGGTTTGTACTCCTGTCTTGGTAAGTTGACTTGAAACTAAACATGGCATTATTCAGTCTTTAAAAGTCAATGTTGTAAAATGTCATGAATCCCTGGTAACCTTCATCTCTTAGAACCAGTGGTAGAATTGACTAGAACACTGTAACTTGTACATCTACTATGTGTTGTGGTTCTCGTGTGTTTTTTTTCTCTTACTGAGTTCAGAACGCTAAGAAAATGTTTATCCTCTGTAAATTCTGTTTCTTCCTTTCTGCCCTGCCCGACTTGCTTTCTTGAGGCGGCCTCATTCATGTAGCCCCAGGCTGTCCTCAGACTTGCAATATGGACAACTCTTGACCCTCCGTTTCTGCCTCCTAAGTCCACCTCCCAAGTGTTTGGGTGCAGGTGTGTGGGGTACAACACCTAGGTATCCTTTAAAATTTCAGACACAGTGGAGGACCGTAGCAGTTCTGTGTGCTCCCCTGTTTACACTTTCCGCTGTTGTAGTTTAACACAGGCCTGTCGTACTCCATGGTGTCTGTGCTTCCTTCTTGTTGGAATCACCCTACACTGTTCTCTTATGCGTTTTGAACATGACAGTACAGGATTACCATGTGTTTTTAAAATTTACCAGTGAGTTATTTTTCCCACATCAAAACCCCATACTGATAAGTAGCTTCAAGACAATTAAAAACAAAACAGAAGTCCTGAAAATTAGCCTGAATACTAGGTGAAGTTAGAGTCATCTTATATATATATTCCTGATGAGTGCTGATGGGAAATCTGTAGAATACAATGAACTATTTTAACTGGATCGTGTGCTCTGGGACCAGTGGTAGTGAGTATGATTTGTGCACATGAGTTAAAGGCAGAATGTTAGTTGTGCTTTCATTTTCATGCCAAGTTTGTGTGTGTGCACATGCATGTGTCAGATGTCCAGTTTAAAAAGAACCCACAACTTTACTATAATAAAATTATCTACAAGCCAATCCCAAAGCAAATATTTATTCACAAATTGCCCATGAGTTCTATACAGCCTTATGATATAATTTTGAATACATCTGAAGTACATTTAAAGTTTGAAGAGGAGCTTCAGATGCATTTTGATCCAGAGAAAGGCTTTATCCTATCAAACGCAATAAACTTTGTATGACTTTGGCAATAGCATGGAAAACTTCATTCAGGATGTGATTTGATGGATGACATAAAGACATACTGTGTATGTTCAGATAAGTCGTTTCTCACTTGAAGATAAAGATGCATCGCCTGAAATAATGGATAAGACAATAAACGGCCAGTGCTGTGAACTACCATTGTGTTCCCATTGGCTGTGGCTCTTGTCACTGTACAGTATGCAGTGACTGACCCTCAGGGGAGTGTTCCATTCCCTTTCCTCTCAGGAAACACAGAAAAGGGGAGTTATGTTACTAAAGAAATAACCCTAAATCTTGTCTAAGTTTTGTTGTTGGGGTAATAAATTGATTCTGCTTTTTCCTTCTCTGAATTATCATGCAATTTTAGATATAGATGCTAGACTCAGGGAGTAAATGTTAGCTTATAGCTGGTGTTGGAGAATGTGATGTGTTATTCTCTTGCTATGTTAAACTCACTGCCCCAACCTACAGGCAGACATCTGAGCAACTTATAGTCCTTACCCTGAAGGCCAGGCTGTTCATTGTAGTGGAGAAAAGGGAGGTTGTCTAGCCAGGCATGGTGAAGCACACTCGTAATCCCAGCACTTGGGTCGCTGAGGAGGGAGCATTAAGAGTTTGGGGTGGTAGATGAGAACGTGTCTCAAGACTGTCATCAACAGGAAGCCAGTAAGAGCCTGAGCAAGGTTCTTGGTGCCCTTTGACTAACGTTTGAAGTTAGAGAAGTTTCTCTTGCTTTGAGGAGGAAATAAGAGAAAAGGGATACACACACACACACACACACACACACACACACACACACACACGAGGATGAAGAGGTTTTCTCAGCACTATTAAGAGGATGGAAATGCCACAGACTAACTGGGTGTGATGGTGCATGCCTGTATTCCCAGCACCCACATGGCAGCTGTAACATGACACATGACATCACAACTGTCTGTAATTCCAGTCGCAGGTGATCTGATGGCCTCATCTGCCTCCTTGTGTACCAGGCATGCAAGGGGTGTACAGATATACTTGCAGATAAAACACCTGTGCAAGTAAATTCAATAAATAAAAGACACAATCATAATGTATTGTCATTTAAATCTTTCAATATTTTGAATGTTATGTGGTGCCACATTAAGCTTGGGTCTTGGTAGGGTCTCACTACATATCCGATGCTGGCCCTCCAACTCATGCTGCCTCAGCTTCCTGAGTATTGTGATTATAGGTGTGAGCCAACACATGAGGAGTAAGAGAAAATGCAGTTACCATAATCTTAGAAAACAGTGTTATTAGGCATTGTTTAGGATGTTCTGGGCCTTTATTTGTCTTCTGAAAGTTGGCTTTGGAGTCTTAAAGACCCTTTTCATGTCATCTGTGTAATTGATGCCCTCAAGGGATTTTCTTTTTAATGGGCTACCGGTTAATTCTGCCATTAACTTAACAGTTTACAGGTGTTCTGAAATGGCATCATGTTTGGATTGCCAAAGTGTCTGCGTCCTGAGCACTAGGGGGCCTCAGAAGATCAGCAGTTATGTGGCTGGCATTTTCATTCTGAATACAAAGATTAGAAGTAGGCAGAGTTAAATTCTAAGATGCCATTCATCTTGCTGCGAAGTTATTTTCTGAACTACACTGGAAACGCTAAGCAGTGTTTAGAGAAGAAAGAAGGATCTTTTTGGTAGTTGTAAGCTTTGACTATGGAGGCTACACACTGCATGGCTCAAAGAAGTGGACACAGGAAACCTTCCACAGGGTCTGTTCATGAAGAGGACACAGCATTTGTAAACATGTATGTACCCACATCAGCATTCCTAATATAAGGAAGTTATTAACAGGTTGGAAGAGAAGTAGAGGACAATGCAAACCCAGTGGGGGTTTCAGCACCTCACTTTCGACAGTGAGTGGATCATCCGGATGGAAGCCCAGTGAAGAAATGCCGGACTTGGAGTGGACACTAATCCGCAGGAGCCCGACAGCCTACACAACGTTCCCCTCAACAGCCGCTTGATGTGTGTAGACCATTTTTTAGAACAGACCCCATATTAAGCTATGTACAAATCCTAACAGATTTAGAAATCATGTGACATCTTTTGTCACCATGATGGGGTGAAACTAGAGAGCAGTGCCAGAGGGAAAAGTGGAAAAGATATAAATATATAGAAATTCAGCAGTACTCCTCACACAAGTAGCGGCTCAAAGAACTCAAAATGGAAACCAAACATCTTCAGCCAGATGAGAATGAGAACAGTGTTCCAAAGCTATAGGTGCGGCACAGACAGTCCTAAGGAGGATGCTCATGGCTATAAACACTTGTATTAGGAGGCTACTGAGGAACAAACTAAACCAAGGTCTGCAGGAGTGAAGTAAGGACACAGTGTAATTAAACCAAGCAGGAAAGCTGTGGAATAAACAACAAAATGAAAGAAATGGACAGAATCTTAGCTTAGACCAAGAAGAGAAAAGACTCTAAAGACCAGAAAGGAAAGCACAGGCATTGTAGTCGGCACCCCAGAATGGAAAGGCTCACAGGGGCTATGATGAAGAGTTACGTGCTGAAAACCTAGCCTTTGGAGAATGGGTGCATTTCTATAAACGTGAACCCTCTGAGGCTGAGTCAGGAGGAAATGGAAGACATACATACATACATACATACATGCATGCATGCATGCAAACATCTGCCTGTGCTTATCTGGATTGTTCTAGCACTTTATTGAAGTGGCTTTCAGGACTTTATGTTTGGTCAGTGATCGTAGCTTTTTGTCTAAATACAGTACTACCCCTCCCCATACACACTTTTTAAAAAAATCCTTTTTAATTCACTACAGGAAGTCAGTGGACCAGGCAGTAATTAGAGTACTGCCTGTGTCTATACCTTTCTGTTTGAAATACAAAATTTTTGACAATATTGTGTTTTTTTAATTTGATTTTAATTTTTTGTAGTACCTTTGGTGCTGTGTACATAATAGATGCTGAATAAGTACTGTTTTACAAACTTTTGAAAATGATTTAGTTAATATGATTAAAATTTATTCAAATGGCCCTCTAATTAGACTTTGGCATGGTGACTGCGCAAGAATATGATTGATTGTAACAAAAGCATCCTTTGCATGAGGACCCAGGATTAGTGAAAAAGCGTAGGGTGTCTTGGCTCGGTAAAGAGCTCTGGGGATTAGTAACACTTCCGAAAAGTAAAAATGGCAAGACATGGCAAGAGAGATCTGATGGAACGAGAAGACGAACTATGTAATGTGGGCTCTGCTTATGTGATTATGGTGCACTCTTATGTGGTTTGCAGGGGAAATGCATAGGCTGTGCCCATTCATAGGGCAGTCCTTACCCATGCAGGAGTCTTTCAAAGCTGTCAGAATCTGTCGCTGGGCCAGCAGCTGGAACATCTGTACACAATGGCTGTTGGCTGTTCCTTTGTTCTTGTTTTCATATTTCTTTTCAAAGCAGTGTTGCAACTTATCAAGAAAAGGTTTTCACGTAGGTTTAAGCTTTGGCATTAGGGGAGAGAAAGCATGTAGGAAAAGGACAGTGTCCACCTAAGACGTAGGTGTGGGCTTCTCAAGAGAGAGTTGCATCCAAGTGTCTTCAACAGTGGCCTAATGGAGGAGTTTGACTGCTAGAGTATGAAGGATTTCTAAGGAACTCCTTAATGAACTATGAGGTGAGGCACATTCCTGAGGACCGTGGGATAGGAATACAGGCTGATTAGGTAGACACCATAAGGTGAGGCACATTCCTGAGGACCATGGGATAGGAGTACAGGCTGATTAGGTAGACACCATAAGGTGAGGCACATTCCTGAGGACCATGGGATAGGAGTACAGGCTGATTAGATAGACACCATGAGGTGAGGCACATTCCTGAGGACCATGGGATAGGAGTACAGGCTGATT